CTCCAAAAGTACATTCTTTCTTGTGATGACTCAATAGATTTAAGCCTCAGTTTCCTTGCCTGTAAAATGGGAGAATAGCCACTGTCCTGATGCTACAAAGAGATGATAAAGACTAAGGTAAGGAAGGTGAGTTAAATAGTATTTTAACACAATGGTAATTTAAGGAGTGATGGGTTACCTAGTGGCTAAGACAGTAAAGAATCTGCCTTCAATGCAGGAGACCTGGGTTCAATCCCTGGGTCGGGAAGATCCCCTGGAGAAGGGAATGGCTACCCATTTAAGTATTCTTGCCTGGAGAATTCCATGGACAGAGAAGCCTGGTAGGCTACAAGTTCATGGGGTCACAAAGAGTTGGACATGACTAACACTTTCCATCACCTCATGGGACATAGATGGGGAGACAGTGGAAACAGTGTCAGACTTTATTTTTTTGGGCTCCAAAATCACTGCAGATGGTGACTGCAGCCATAAAATTAAAAGATGCTTACTCCTTGGAAGGAAGGTTATGACCAACCTAGATAGCATATTAAAAAGCAGAGACATTACTTTGCCAACAAAGGTCCTTCTGGTCAAGGCTATGGTTTTTCCAGTGGTCATGTATGGATGTGAGAGTTGGACTGTGAAGAAAGCTGAGCGCAAAAGAATTGATGCTTTTGAACTGTGGTGTTGGAGAAGACTCTTGAGAGTCCCTTGGAACTGCAAGGAGATCCAACCAGTCCATCCTAAAGGAGATCAGTCCTGGGTGTTCATTGAAGGACTGATGCTGAGGCTGAAACTCCAGTACTTTGGCCACCTCATGTGAAGAGTTGACTCATTGGAAAAGACCCTGATGCTGGGAAGGGATTGGGGGCAGGAGGAGAAGGGGACGACAGCGGATGAGATGGCTGGATGGCATCACCAACTCGATGGGCATGAGTTTGAGTAAACTCCAGGAGTTGGTGATGGACAGGGAGGCCTGGCATGCTGAGATTCATGGGGTTGCAAAGAGTCGGACTCGACTGAGTGGCTGAACTGAATTGAACACTTTCCCAGTAGTAGTTACAGCTTAGAAATCATGGTAACAATGTAAGCTCTATTAGCACCTTTATCACAACAGTGTATATGCTACTAGGACTGACAGATGGATAATTAATATTATTGTGGTTGTAGATTTTTACAGCTGCATTTTTCTCTTTGGATTTTAATATGTTAAATTTCTGTTTTAATAAGCCCCCTTTTCGAACTGAAACAAAATAATGTCATGTGCTGCCAGAAAGAGCCACCAGAGGGAGTTAAATCCCTTGCAGAGCCCATCTGACTTCCCTGGAGCAGTATCAAATTTACACTTGAATATGGGAAGTGGGTCTGAAAAAAACATGGGAAGTGGGTCTGAAAAAAATGAAATCCAGTGTACATTTATTACGATGTTGGGTCTACATTTAAGTAAATAAGCTTCTTTGTTCTCCTTGGCTATTACTTAAGTTTCTCTGTCTTTTTAGTTTGTTTATGCACTTTTGTTTATTTATTTTAAATCAGTTGGGATTGTTCAGATTGGAATAATTCAGAAACGTGAAGCCCCGACTTGCTTTGAAAGCTTCCAAGGACACATGTTCACACATGAAGAGGCTGCCTTCCTCACCGGGAAGTTTATAAATGTGATGAAAAATAAATAGGCGGCTTGTATTGTTTTCAAAACGGAGGAGGTTGGAATTTCTACTTTTGCAAAGACTTTTCCTTCTTGTACAGTGGCCGTACAATTCCAGCCTGCAGAAGTACCTACAAGAGGTGGAATGCACTGGGGCAAATTGTAGGTGCTTCTCTGTAGCTCTCGCATTCCTGAGGCTGTCCCAGGGAGCAGAAAGGTGGGGAGCGGGCGGGCATGTCAGGGTTCAGAGGGCCCATCACCCCCGGAGTGGTCCTGCCATGCCGTGGAACCTGTCCACGCCCAGTTGTTGGGGGCCATATGGGCCATATGTAATGACTGTGGCAGAGGGCAGAGGCATTGCGCCTCAGTTGTCAACCCAGCTGAGGGTCCATGGGATGCAGCACAGAAGTGTGGGTCAGGGAGTGACAATTTTGTCCACATTCCCCCCACAACACACACACACACAGAGGGACTGGCTTAGGGTTCAGAAGCTCTGATCGGAGTTTGGCTGTTTGTTTTTGGGTCACAGTATTATTTTCAGAATGGGAGAGGTTGGAATTCTACTTTTGTAAAGGTTTTTCGTTCTTGTTCATTGGCCCTCAATTCCTAGCCTGCAGACCTACCTACAAGAGGTGAAACATCCACACAAAGGTCTGTATGTTGTTTTATTCATCCTTACAAACAATCCTTTGAGATAGGCAGGGCAGTTCCTGTTGCTATTCCAGTTTACAAATGAGAAAACACAATGAATGAAGGGGTACTTGAGGTTCCCTTTAAGTGTGAGGTCTAAGTTGGTGGGGCCAGGTGCCAGGTTTTCTGAAATCTGTGGTTGGTAAGGAAGTAGTGAGAGAGCTGAGCCATGGCCTGATGAGGTCTGTTTCTGGTGGATGCTGGTGGATGGAGGCACTCTTTCATTTGGTGCCCACCAGCCAGGAGGTGGTGAGGACTGGAGATTGTAGGAAGAGCAGGATCTTGACTTTGATGGTGAGCCTAGTCTAGGTTGTGTGTAACACAGAAACTGGGAAAAGCTTTAATCAGCATAGGGACGACAAGTGATGGAGAATGCAGAGGAGATGATGCCTCAGGGGCCTCCCAGCACCCTCTGGAAGGATGATGAGATGATGGAGGTGATGATGGAGGAGAAACCCAGTGAGGATTCTGCAGTTGGGGTGACAGAAGTCAAAGCAACCGGTGGCCTTTTGCTGCTAGACCCCTGGCTGGTGTCTGAGGGGAACCCAGACTATGGGGAAAGTCCAGCAAGGCCTGAAGGGGATTCATTGGTCTGTAGAAGCTTAATTATGTGAGGAAAGGGAATCCATCCTGGGGGTTTCATATTCCACTGGGGAGACAGTTCTATCCTTGGCTGCTCTTTTCATCCTTATATGTTTTGCTTTTAAATTTCAAATCTAAAACTTGAGGAAAGTCCTTAACTTTCCTGGTATGCTGAGACCCAGAGGCAGCAAAATATAGCCACTTAGAAGGCTAATACTGGGTTGGCCAAAAAGTTTGGGAAAAACCCAAATGAACTTTGTGGCCAACTCAATAAATCAAGGACCCTCTGGGCAGTGACCACCTTCCTGCACATCCCCGCAGCATTTCTGGGGCTGACACCCGCAGCCCAGTGCTGGAAACGACCCAGGGCCTCTGCGTGTGCACGGGACTGGTGCAGCAGGAACGTGTTCAGAGTAGTTTCTGAACACAGAGAACTTTTCTAATGGATGTGGGTCCAAGTCCAATAAATGTGTTCTGAATAGAGCAGGGAAGGAAGCTCCAAACACCCGCCTTGAACCTCTCTGCCCAGCTTGCCTTCCCCGACCCCAGCCTGCCCTGCATCCTAGGGCCTCCAAGGGCAAGGGGAGGGGCTGAGCTCTGACTCAGGCAGAAACTGCACAGGCCTAAACCATGAAGGATGCTAACTTGGCCTTCACCACAGGAAGGGCTGACAGGAACCTGAGAATTCCAATTAAGCTTAAACTAATGAGCTGGAAACTTTGGGGAAACCATTGTGGGCAATGAGGGGAGAGTGTGATCATCTCCCTTTTAATTAGCGCTGGAAAAACCTGTGGTCCAGCTAGTAGCAGGAGAAAGGGCTCCAGAGGGAGCATCAGAGGGGAATTCCCCTGGTGGGAAGGTACAGAGGCTGCTGAACAAACCCGGATGCCTTCTTCACCTCTAAGTGGGGAGAAGGGAAAATCCTAAGTGGGAAGAGATGGCCTTGAACCGAACCTGAGCTGTGCTCCTCACACGATGGAGGCTGAGGCTGGATAAACGCAGAGTGACTTTAGGGAATTCTGCTGTCTCTAGGAGCTGTCACTGTCCCTGAGACCAGGTCTCCCCGGCCTATCTCTGGCTACTTTCTTAGGCAGCCTCTGTCGCTTAATAAGAAAAAGGCAAAAACAAACAAACAAACAAAAACTACCAGCTGCTGCTATCAAAGGCCACAGACCACCGCCAGGCCGGCACGGGAGACTGGGGCACCTAGGATAGGCGACAGGGAAGAGCCTGGAGGGATGGATAGGGGTCGATCCAGGGTGTGTATCCTGGAGAAGGGTGCTCCTCACTCCCGAAGCCCGAGAATCTTGGGGCGTCCGGCCTGTGCAATCAACAGCTGGTTACTTCTCCCCTCCTCAAAGTGGTCCGCTTTGGGGAAATCGGCCTGCCCCGGGCGCCCGACGGTCCTCCTCGGGTGCGCCAGGGCGCTCGGCTGGGGGCGCAGCACCTTGGAGAGAGGTGTCGGGTCCTGCGCCTGGGTTTGGGGCTCTGTACCTTTCGCACTGGGGCTCAGGGGTGAGTGCCAGGCCGCCGCCAAGGGGTCTGCCGGCCCCCTGCCCAGCCCGGAGCCGAGGCGAGCCAGCGTGGCGAGCCTCCTCCCCTCCCGCCTCGGGCGGCCTGAGCCCGCGCCGGCTCCAGTTGCTGCAGCTGCTGTTGCTGGCGGCTGCGGGGAGCGCGGGGAGCGCGCAGAAGAGGCTCGGGAGGCGAGGACGGGGACGAGGAGGAGCCTGAGCAAGCCGGGAGGAAGATAGAACGAAGGCCGAGGAGGCTCAGTGGCGTGGCGACGCGGCTCGGGGATCCCGGGAGCATGGGCTAGGGGCATCGGCGGCGGGCCAGGAGCGGTGAACCTGCCGCGGCCCGACGCACACCGGGGCGGAGAGAGAGAGCCGAGCGCAGCCGGGAGAGGAGGAGCTGGCGCGGGGGTACCCGGGAGGGGGCTGATGAGACATTATTAACGAGTTGCCGCCTAATAAGCCCAGAGCGGCGGGCTAGCTGCCCGGGCGGCGTGCGGGGAGGGGTCCCGGGCCGGAGCGCGGCGCACACGCGTGGCGCACGTGGGGCGGCGGCGGCGGCCCGCTGTATATATCTCCGCGCACCCCGCCAGGTCGCGCACAGCGCCCCGAGCCCAGGCGCCTCCCCGCCCCCTTCTCGCGCTCCGCGGCGGCAGCAGTAGCAGCAATATGGCTGTTGATGGGTGTTCGGGGTGGTGCCGGCGGCGGGAGGAGCTCCCCCGAGCCCCTGCGCCGGCTGCCCGTTGCTAGCTATGGCAAATGGTGGCGGCGGCGGCGGCGGCGGCGGAGGCAGCAGTCTTAGAATGAGCAGCAATATCCACGCGAACCATCTCAGCCTAGACGCGTCCTCCTCCTCCTCTTCTTCCTCCTCCTCTTCCTCCTCGTCCTCGGTCCACGAGCCCAAGATGGATGCGCTCATCATCCCGGTGACCATGGAGGTGCCGTGCGACAGCCGGGGCCAACGCATGTGGTGGGCTTTCCTGGCCTCCTCCATGGTGACTTTCTTCGGCGGCCTCTTCATCATCTTGCTCTGGAGGACGCTCAAGTACCTGTGGACCGTTTGCTGCCACTGCGGGGGCAAAACGAAGGTAACGCGCGCACCGGGCGCCTCCCCACTGCGCCAGCCCCGCCGCTTCTCGGCGTCCCCTGCAGCCCACCTCCTCGCTCCTCAGCGCGCCGTGCCTCCCTCCATCCTTGCCTGCCTGCCCCTCGCCGTCTTCCCTTCCCTCCGTTCTCCTGGCGCTCGCCGACTGGGGCAGCGGCCGGCGCACCGGGGGTGAGGAGTTGCCCCCAACCGATGCGCTCCGGGACGCGGACGCCCCATCCCGACCTCTTAATTTATTATAGGGTTGTTTGCGGCTGCGGCTGGGGCCGAGATGGGGGACGCGCGCCGCTCGGGGCCGGTGGTGCGGAGTTAGGGAGAGCCAACCGGGCGGGCACCGAACAAGCTGGGGGTCGTGTGTGCGCTTTCCGCGCGGCTCACCTGCCCGGGCTGGGCTCCTTGTGGTGGGCGAGGGGGGAGCACGTCAGCCCGCACTTTAGAAACCTGTTGGGGAGGTGAGTCCGTGGAATCAGAAAAGGAAAATCCTATAGGCACGGGAGGACATCTTTTGGAACTAGGGAATCCCGAGGGAGGAACGTGGCCAGAGGGCGTGGGGCACCTGGAGGGGCGAGAGAAAGTTTGGGAGTAGCATCCCACTTTCAGGAATGTAGCGAGGTGTGAAGCCTGACGTCCCCTCCCTCTGTGACTCTTAGATATTCTTCTGGAACTGACCCCCGCTCCAAGTTCTTCAGCATCTGTGTTCTCGCCCCCAGACCACCGCCTTTAGGTCCGCGAAAATGCCACCGACAGCGTGGCGCTGGAGCGGGGGGTGGACCACCGAGAGCCGGCCGAGGCCGCGGTTCTCACGCGAGCCTCCTCCCCGACGTTGTTGAGGTGGCTGGATGTCGGCTATTCCTGGCGCAGAGACGCCCACCAGCACCCAGGCTCGCTACACCTTATGCACGGTTGCTAGGCTGGCTGCCTGGTCTGTCGCGTCGTGTCCCTAGAGATGTCCTCTCTCCAGCCGCCCCCCCCCCCCCCAACTGGCTGAAGGTGCGGGGGGCAGCTTTTCATAGAAAACAGCAGGATAAAAAAATAAAGAACTGGAAAAAAAAAAAAAGAGTGACCGAGGTGTTTTCTGTTTAGACCACTTTTTAATCGAGGGGTCTAACCAGTGCTACTGTTTTCAGAGGGAGCGGGGGATCGGAGAGGGACAGTGAACGGTGCAAGGTAGACGCAGATCTCGGCGGGAATGCTCACGTCTTTTCTAATAAAGTTAGTCCGCGGACCCCTCAAACTTCTACAGTGCACAGCAACTTGTAGCAGCCTCCTTAGGTGCTTCTGGGAGGGAGTAGGTAGGACGGGGGCTGTGGGTGACAACACAAGGGTGAAAGGAAGCTCTTGCTTTCTCTCCTGATCATTAATTATACATCCTGTTGGGTACTGGGGCTCAGCTGTGTTTTATGGCAGCACATTTGTGTTTTGGAAAATACTGATGTGTTGGAAATAAGGGAGAAAAAGAAAAGCCATCATCCGATCCCTCCTCCTACTTCTCTGAGACCTTCCAGGTGTTAGCCAGCCAGTTTTCTCTGGAGTTACCTTCTTGGCCATAGCAGTTTCTCCTCACTTGTCAAGGTGGAAGACCTCCCACATTCCAGAGAAGCCAGCAGGTTACCCAGGATCCTAACCCTGAGACCCCCCCAGACCTGGCCCCCTGCCTAGCCCTCCTGACTGGGCGCCTGTTCATGTTGTTGTTGTTGTTTAGTTGCTAAGTTTTGTCGGACTCTCTTGTGGTGACCCCATGGACTGTTGCCCGCCAGGCTCCTCTGTCCATGGGATTTCCCAGGCAACAATACTGGTGGGGTTGACATTTCCTTCTCCAGGGGTCTTCCGGACCCAGGGATAGAACCCGCGTCTCCTGCATTGCAGGCAGATGCTTCACCCCTGAGCCACCTGGGAAACCCACGCTTATTCATAGAGTCTTCTTATTCACACGTTCCCTCTCCGCTGCCTCCCCAGCAGTCTTCAGTCTGGGAATGTTTTTCCTTTACGGAGATTCTGTGACTACCCTTGGGGAGAAGAAAAGAGTCGTACGCATCTCAGATGTTTTCTAGACTGGGTTTAGTGAACTTCTAAACAACCTCCTTATCTTTCAGGAACTGGGCAGGCTTGATCATACTGAGAACTTTTTTTTCAGTGAGTGAAAATAAGTTTCAGTGTTTTTGTGATCCTGGGGTTTTAAACGCAGCTTCTGAAGTCTTTTTACTCTAGGAGGTACATCAGTACTACCGCAGTGCCTGTGATGAAATGCTGATTGGATGTTTCATGTAAAGAGTCTCTTTCCTAAATGATGACCAAGCATAACTTCTGTAAGTTTTCTCAAGAAAATAGTTTTTTGGCAGCAATCATTAGAAAAGAACAATCCCTTTATATCAAGCTATATTTTGAAGCTCCAATGCATGCCAAGTTGACATAACCGGAAGTGTCTACAAAGAATCAGCCTGGGACAAGAGATTGCTTGCAGTTGGTAGGGAAGATGTGAGGCCAGTATAGAATGAGATAGGGTTACTTTTTTGTGTCTTTAGAGTCCTTTTTAAAAACATGCCTAGAATCACTGCCCCTTGATTTGCTCAATTAAACAAGTGTGTGTAACCATCTCATTTTGCCCAATAGTAGTTACTTAGGCCTTTTATAAACTTTATAAACTATCTTTCTACCCTTGAGGTCTGTATTTTTACTGCAGTCTCTTTTTTTTTTCTTTGTCCTTCATTCTTTTTGCTTTCCAAGTATTTAGTAGTTGTCAAGATGCCGTTCAGAAGAATGCATTTGGCTTCAGTTTGGAATAATTATTTTAGTGCTGGGTTTTCCAAGCAAACCAAGGCTGCTTTTCCTCAGTATTCTACCATCCCTCAGATATGTTCACCCTTATCCTGATTTAGCCCCAAGATGGTCTGACCTGGAGCTAGGGTCTTTTTCACATCTGAAACTCTCGGGGAGTAAGCTTCAGCCAGGGCTCTGGAATCACAGCATTTGGCCTCTGGGACTGTACTGTCCTTTTTGATCAAAGGAACCCGAAACTGGGTGTACATCAAGAGGCATCTCATCCTTAGTCCCTCTGACCTCCGAATCTCAAATCGTGAATGACTTCACTGTTCTGAAAAGAATGGCACGTGGACTTCTTTAGGAAACAAAAGACAAAAAAGAATCCCATTTTCTTGCTGTTTGGAACTTGGGCACAGTCATTCCGGTACTATATTCTTTGCTGTACTTTTTCACATTATGGTCTTTTTCTCTGATGGGTTTCATCAGAGCCCTCCATTCACTTGGCTGTGACGTTTCCAGGTTGAAGTCAGCCGCAGACTGTAGTGAACAAGGAGCTGTTCTGGCAGCCTCAACAAGGTTGTGACCTTGAAGGAGTGGTTTTAGTCTCTCTGGTGTCTTTCCTGCTGTGTGAAATATGGGCTTGAGTTCTGTGAGTGTTAGTGCCCCTTCCTGCCCTGGAACTCAGTGGAGGACAGTAGAAGGAGTTGGTGATCTATGGGTAAAGTCTCTAGCTCAGAACACATTTTGCAATTCTCCAGCTTCAGAATGCTTATGTGTCTTTATTTCCACCTTCTGCTCTTCTTCCAGCTCACAGGCTGCTTTTCTTTAAATGACTGGGGAAACTGAGGCCAGTTTCCTATGGTGGTGTGGTTTGCTGGGAGGGGCCTCATGTGGCCAGGCATAGACTCATCCTGTTCTCCGTTCAAGCCATCCTCCTTGTAGAAGTTTGTGTTCGATTAAGTCTGGTCTGCACGTAATGAATTATGGACGTATTGTCTCCATGGCTGTGTCTGAGAAAACAACACGTTTTCTCTGTCAGGCTCGTGACTAATATAAACATCAGATCCCATTACGGCTCGGTGATTACCCAGGGTCTGGCCTGGCGCATCCAATCAGGGCTGGAGCTTCAGAGCCTCAGAATTCTTGATTCCAGATTGGCCCCTGTGTCTCATCTCATCCTGGAGATCGGCGGCACTGGACGACCTTCAGATGCTCCGCTTTGATGGCATCGCTTAGGGTGGCCTTGGAGAGCGCTCAGGTCCCAGGCACCAGGGAGCTGCAGGTGACCTTCCTTGTCCTGAGAGCTTTTTCTCCTTGTTCCTGGCTCTCCCTGTGGAAATGCACGCTTCCGTAGAGACACTGCAGTCAGACAGACCCGAGTGCAAATCGTGGAGCCCACGCTTGTTACCTGGGCATCTGTGGCTGGCAGCTCTGTTCAGCTGTTTGTCTTCACCTGTAAGAAGAGTGTGATGATGCTTCCTTTGTAGGTTTCTTATAAGGAGGGAAAGTACTGCCTATATACCACTCAGGAAATGCCTGTCACTTAGCAGGCCTGTCAGTGGGAGCTCTCAAGTCTTTACAAGGTGGCAAGTTTAAAATTTTCTCCTTGAGTCCTTGAACTTTTGACCCTGGAAGGGCACTGACTACAACAAATAGAACTTTTGAACCAAAGGAGACCTGTAGACCCTGGAGTCCATCATCCTTGGGTCAAGCATCCAGTTAGGGGTCACACTGAGGTTTGGGCTCATGACTCTTGGCTGGTCCAAGTCTGGCAGGTGGGGGAGGGGGAGCCTGGGAAGGCTCCGTGGGCATGGGTGTGGACGTGGAGGGGAGCTTGGCAGTTTGGCTAGTGCTTTGATGGTGGGGAAGAGAGTGGATGAGCCTTGCATTGTGCGGCTCCAGGAGCTGCAGGCCTAGCGCAAGTAGAAAGTTTGGTGGCTGTGCATGGCTGTCTAGTGACCCTTGAGAAAGGATGAATTCCACTCCTGTTATCCCCAGCCCAGTGATCACAGACCTGTTCCCCTGAGGCTGTGACAGTTTCCCCACCGGTGTGCCCTCTCCCCAGACCAGCTTTGCCCTGATGGCCCCCAGAGCAGTATTTCCCCCAGTGTGTTCTGTGGAGCACTTGCCCTTGAATTTGCCTTGTGAAACAAAATTGAAAGTCAGGGCATAGCTGCGGGCCCTTGGAGAGTCACATCACAGGTTGGAAGTTCCGCGGGAGAG